CGGACAGCCCAGGGGAAGCCAAATCCATTTGCAGCCAGCTTATGGAGTTTTTTGGTCCCAGTGAAAGTAGTTTCTGTAAGGCACCAAGGCAAGTTCTACCCTGGAAAAAAAAGCATTAAGAAAGCGAACATTGTGTCAAAGCACTCAGCCTCGCAGCCTGCTCTCCGGGCCCTGCTAGGTGATGGGTGCTGGCTCTCACCAGCATTGCCAGTCCTGGTCCTCCTCCCCACACCACAAACTCTTTCTACAGTTACTCTGAACAGGGACCTTTCAAACCCTGGAGATGGGGAACTCACTCTTCTCCCTTGTGCCTCTGGCTGCCACATCTGGATGAGAGATGTGTTTGAACTCCTCTGAAGGGAAAAGGCTATGAATACGACTGGCATCAGAGGAACTCATTTCCTCCAGCAGAACTTGTCTGTCCTGAACTACTCCATCGGGGAACGCTATCAATAATAAAGTCTCTCCTCTTTCCCAGCACTATGGGATTTCCATGCTCCAGCCAAATGCATTTTCTCTGAGCGCGTGATATCCTGATGTGTTCTGGGACAACTCCATAGGCATTTGCCAAGACACATGCTGGCTTCTTCAGACATAGCAGTATTAACTTGGTTTAGACCGTGAGTCTCAAGTAATGACAGGCCATCTGGCACATTTCAGTAATACTGGCACTTTCTGCTCAGAGAGGTCTGGGACTTAAGACAGACATGGCAGGTCAGGAGTGAAATGCATTGGCAGGGCTTCGTGCACGAAGCTTGCATGGCAGCACTTAACCCAAGCCAGTACCGCTGGGACATCACCCATCAATCTGTTCACAGCCACACAGGCAGCTTTGGGAGCAGAGCAAGATGACAAGTGAGCGTTGGGGTAAGGGTCAGGAGCAGCGAGTGAGCGAGGTGCCAGCTAGGGGACTGCTACTTGGAGAAGGAGGTATCACTCAAAACGGAGCTGTGGGGACAGGCCTGCTTGAAGTCAGGGGGTTATGGGTCGGGAAGAAGTTGTATCAACACTTCTTGGGAGGAGGGCAGAACGGTGCAAGGCTTGTAGACTGCACATCTCCCTTGGGTTGCAGTAGCAAAGATGCTGGTACACAGGATCAGACAGTACACAGGACCAGGAGAAATCTGGAATGAGGTTGTAGGCAGATTGGAGAGCATGAAGGAGGCTTTTTGCACTGGAAAGTTCAGCTGTTGCAGCACTGACTTCTTCCTGACTTGTTTCAGCGACGTTGTCTGGGGCCAAGTCTGAATCAGGAGAAGAAAGGATATGCATCTGGTCCTTCTACCAAACAGGAGGTTAGTTTTAAGATGCAATTGTACAGAAATCAAAAAGAAGATTAGAAAGCCAGGTGTTTGTTGCTGGTTAGTATAATGAGACATTCTTGTAACAGTCTGATGACTGGGAAAACAGAGAATTGCTGATTCATTTGCAGAAACAAAATCATTACTGAGGAAACTGTTTTCTCACTAAAAGAGAAATGTGATACTTTGTTTATTGCAGCAACTGCCATCATGGACATTGGCTGATGACCCAGTCTGGGCATGGATCACAGCACTAGTCAATACCTGCCCTCCGTCATTTTTTCCCTTCCATTCGTCCATGTCAGTGCTGTACTCAACTTACTGTTGGACAATCTCTGTCAGATACGTACACACAGATGCCACATGGACTGGTTTCATCTTACTTTCATTCTCTGTGGCTTGCCTGTAAAAGTGAAGACTGAACCGAGAAGATAACGGTGTGTTGTGTTGTCCTCCTTTGACTGACCTACTTTGAGCCAAAAGCCAGGGAAGAGGATACACAAATCTACTTCTAATGCAGATTAAAAAGTGCCTTTGGCACAGCATCCCCCCACGGACTCATCATACATTCAAAAAAAGTTTTTTTCATCCTTTTCCCAGATTCCTGTTGTGGAGAGGGGACCATTAATGATAACTCCCTGAGGCTCCTTCTCCTCATGTTACACAATGCCTCATTCACAACTTAGGCATCAGGACAGATGAAAGCAAAACAGAGATGAGCAGTTCTTTCCCTGGTATTCAAACTTTAAATCCAACACCCACTTTGCTGTACTATAAACAGAGCTGCCTGTTCAGAGCACCAAGACACTGCTGTAATGTTTCTTTTTCTTTAAGATTTTACATTTCTCCTGTGAGAAGCAATTACAATAGAAGCGTCAAGCAAAAATAAACTCCTGTTAATCACAGTCACTGTGAGCCTGCCAAGTAAGTCACGTCTCACTGTCGCTGTTCCATTTTTCAGGTAGAAATAAAAAGTGTGTGAGAATGCTAGAGTATAGAAATTAAGCTCTTCCCAAGAGGGGGCCCAAAGTTTCTGACAGCTCTTCTCTTGTGTTCATGACATTGAGTGGAATTAGACAAGCACTAAAATTGAGTGTCCAATGATCGTAAGAAAAATTCAGGTTGGAAGGATTCTCTGGAGGTCATCTAGTCCAACCTCCATCCAAAGCAAGGCCAGATGCAGAGTTAGGTCAGATTGCCCAGGTCAGCTGTGCTCAGGGGTTTTTCTAAACAGCTCCAGAACGCTGGTTCCACCACATCTCCAGGCTACCGGGCCCATGCTCAGCCACTCTGACCACAAACAACTTACTTTCTATATCTAGTCGGGATTTCTTTTCCTGCAACTTGCGTACGTTGTCTTTTGTGCTTCCACCATGCACTCCTGAGAAGGGTCTGACACTGTCTTCTCTATAGCCTCTCATTCCCTTCAGCTTTACCATCTCCAGACTGAACAAACCCAGTGTCCTCAGCTTCAACTCAAACATAGGTGCTCCTGCCTCTTCAAGTGCTCCAGCTCTTTACCCGTCTATCACAAGTACTGAAACCATACACAAATTTCTTTTGGTTTTGGTCTATATTGGCAGGTCTATGCATCTGAAAGGAGAATTGAGAAATAGAGAAAACTTTGGGCACTCATCTGAGCCATTATTTTCCCATCCTTTTCAAACTCAGAGACTTCATGCACTGCCCAGTGCATCACAAGGGAGCTGCCTTCAAATCACCTGAAGGGAATGGTACTGAGCTTGTCCCCCTCCAAATGTGAGAATTTTCTGTGAGCTTTGGAGGGAGGTTTTGTTCTTATTTTATCTTCATCTCTTCACTATTCCCTGTGCTGTGAAAAATCAGCCATTTCAAGGTAGCGCAGTTGCAGCTGCTCTTCCAGAACAGCAGAGTGCGAGGGGGCAGTTTCCAGCGTGCTGGAGCTGCCAACCAGGGTGGTACCTAAGGATCAGTATAATCAGTTTAAAGATGCTGTGAGGTCTCCCATTTCCTTTTTTCTTTGAGTAGCAGGTGGCGGCTTGACGACTAGGTCAATTGCTTAATCAATGCTATGAATATTAACAGGAATATCAGATATCTGTTTTAGTCGAATAAATCTTAAGACATCCGGTTTGTGTATTGCAGACTTGAGCTCATGGAATGGGTTTTAAATCAGATAAATGGTTGTTTTCCCCAGGAACCTTCAAGAACAGTTAGCTCATACCTGCTCCAGCCATAACCTGCAATTTAGTAACACAATTTTCACCTCGTTCTAGATTCAGGTTTCTTTTCCACAGTAAAACGCTAATCCTGCTACTGCCAGTTACACCAAGTCACCACCCTGAAATCAATTTCAGACAGAACAGCCTGTTGCTCAATAAAAAGGGATTAACTGGATTGAGCCTTATTTAAGCAAAAACTTCATTCCAAGTTCCATATTCCCTGCCTATTCCCAAGAACTCTGCAAATTTGTATTCCATCCCTGTAGCTTAAGTTGGACATTTTTCTGATACAAGGGTATCAAATCACACTCCTGAAGCAATCAACATAACCTCAAACTCTGCTCAATCCAACCATTTTCACAGTAAAGATATTTGTGAAGTACTTCAGCTCAGATATGCTCCATTGCAGGGAACCCCCTTTGCAATGGTTTGACATCAGCTGCATTGCCAGCATCCCTATTGACTAGAGATATTTCCCCATTATTTTACAACAGTATGCAGTCCCCAAGAGCAAGAAAAGTCCCTTGGAACTGCCAGTCTTCTATCAGTTATTGGTGTGCTGCCTATATGTAACAATGCAACTTCTGCATTTTTAGCGATCATCTGAATTTTACTGCAGCAAAGTTGCAGCCACAGAGAAGGAAGCCCTTCACTTTTCAGAACAGAAGGGGAAACTTCCCTAAACAGACTCATCAGTACCTGGTCTGATTTGGAAAGAGACTCTGCAGGACAGATAAAATCGTATTTACTTTGCAGAGATAAACAACATCATAAATTATAAGTCACAGAAGTAGTCAGGTATCTCCTAATGGACAATAGTCTACTGGTAGAGAGAGGGAAAACAGTAGTTTTGTGCCACCATAGTGAATACTGCTATAGAGTTAGTGGAAGCAGGTACCAGAAACCCAAGTACAAATCCTCCAAGCAATTTACATCATCCTGAATATAACTCATTATCTATCAAGTTCTTTTTTGTCGCACTGGAAGATATTCTGTCTGGAAATACGGGTAGGAATGGTTTTGTACTCTGACTCCCAGTTCCCGTACCATCCACACTTTTGTACATATAGATTTAATAAACAGCATACATGCATAAAAGGTATTTCACATTCCTCTACCTGTCACAGCAGTCTGATAAGAGTATCTGGGTATGAGTGAGAAAACATTGTTTCAGCTTTCTTTCCTGAGTTCCTCCCCAAGATCTTCCTACTCCCATCATGGGGAATGATTCTGCCTGGTTATACCATAATAGCCACAAAAGCTATGTAACATTTTAAAATATAACTCACCCCAAAGAAATATAAATGCTTGCCTAAACAGAATTAAGAAATCTTGGTTCAATACTTCACCTCATAACAACGACGTGCAGAAAAAATAAGCAGACGGGGCATTTTTTTTTTTTCTTTCATTCTTTCTTTTTTGTGGCTCTAGCAATATGTTTGCTTAGAGCCAGTGAGGAACAGCTCGCGCTCTCTTCCCTGCTAACCGAGGTCCTTACCGGTGACGACGCTGGGGATTTTGGACAGAAAGCTCTTGACAGTGCGGATGGGAACTCCACCTGTTTTGTCATCCTGCATTCTCGTAATGATGTCTTCAATCTGTCAAAAGGAAGGAGAGACTTAGCGGTTTATGCAATACGGTGACTTATGTTTGTATAACGCACGTGCTTTGGAGCCCTGCTGGTAGGATAGGCTTCAAATGTACCATGTGTGCTACTGCACAAACACACACCTAGAGACACGGCTACCACCTCCCAAATTTAAACCCTGAGACTAGAAATCATGAGACAACATAGTCCTGCTTAAGAAATGGTGGTCTGAGCATACTGACAATCCTACTGCAATCATGCTTTTTTGCTGACCAGGGATGACAGCAATGTGTTGTTTGGCCCACATGTGAATTAGGTTAGAGCTATACTGCGACAAGCTTAAGGCGCTTCCCGTCCAGCCCAGTTTCCCCCCTCCTCCCATATTCGTTTGAATCCCTGATACTGTGACCTTGGGAGGGCTTTCATTTTCCAAAGGCTCCCAGACATTGCCAGTGACCTACAGCTTGAGAAAAGCATAAGAGAACAACCACAGGGTGATTTTCCCGTGCCTCATGCTGTAGGCAGGGATGGTACGTGTCCATGGTCACTGTATGAAGCGCACAACCAAAAAGTAAAATTACGATAGAGAAAAACTGGTTAGATTTTCACAGCCAAGTTAACTTTTACTTCACAAGCACATAATCCATCATATACAGGAAAATATACAATCATCTCCAAAAGCCATGGCAATCTGATTACTGGGGAAAGGAGCTTAATCCTCCTCCCGTTCACTCTAACACAGGAAGGGATTTTTGCTCCTTTTGAGGCTACTCCCCCTATATTTACTTGAAGGTAATGCCAGGGAGAACAAAAAGCTGAACATAAGCACAGTGCAGAAATTCAGTATCTCCATAAACTCTCTTCTTTCAAGTTAATAAGGTCTCAGAAGCCCAACAAAAATAAACCCAAAGCTGTTGGCTCTGTTAGCTCGAGTGGTTGACAGCACAGCCTCTACCTGCTGGTGACAGGAGGCTGAGGCCAACAGCAGCCAGACAGGGAGCACAGCTCTGACTTTACCTAAAGATTTTTTCCTCGCAGATGCTACAAAACACAACCTCAGCAGAGAGGTTACGTGGTGGGAGTACGGCCCCTCTCTCTCCTAAAGGCAGCCCGAGAGCTCAACCAGCTCTTTTCAACTCTGGAAAGCCGGCTTCGTTTAGATGTGCAAGTGAGTTTCTTTCACAGACTTAACACCTACATTTCAAAACAAGTTTAATTTGTCTTACCACCTCGGGAAGACTTGGATCTCCCTGCCAACTTCAGACACTGAATTTGATCACTGTATTTTTTAACCTCAAGGCTATCACGTAACTGAACTGTTCGCACCTTGTTTATATATTATTTTTAAGTTAACACATGCCCTGAACAAATTCTCAGCGGGAATGAAGTCACAAAGATGAAAATATCCTGAGATATTCAATAGGTTACAGGAGGGTTGGATACCTACAGTTAATTTGTGATAGAATAATGCTACTTCTTCCCCAACCCAAACACTATGAAAATTAATACCACCTTTTCCGCTTTACCTGAACTTTTTGCAAGGTTATTTGCTGATCAAAACAGTTTCTTCCAGTCCGAGGATACCTGAGGAGTAACTGCTCTTCTCAGGCTGGACAAGAAGCGTTTCACAGCACCCCGTGGTGTTGAGGGGCCTGGCAGCACTGCTCATCGTGAACCCAGACCTACGAGGATACAGTGCTCCGACGCCAGACCTGCCGGGGGGACAGTATGGCTCAGTTGCCTGTGAAGGGTGGACCAAGAAGGTCAGCCAGACTAAGAAACACTTCAACAAGGCAATGAAAAAGCCTCTCTGGGACCAACTAGTTACGTGCCTTCATCTGCATGCACTTGTAGCTGGCATCAGAAAGAGATTTTTCCATGCGTATTAGGAGGAAACTACTCTGGAAGGTGTTGCGAGTCCCATGTCTCCAGGAACACTTAAGGGCTTTAAAAACCACAAGCATAGTTTTTGGTAAAACCGTTGTTTTCTCTTTTTCTATTTCAATGAAATGTTCAGAATGAAAAACGAGTGAAAATAATTGTTTTGATGCAGGAAAATAAAATTCTTATTCTTTTGTTCACTGTAAGCTAAAGGAACACCAGATATGCTTTATGTCATTACCACCCCAAGAAAAGTTCCATTTCAAGCAAAATAAACCTTTAACTATCTTAAAAGCAAAATGTATTGTTTTTACCTAAGCTATCCCCATTTCAAGCAATCAAGCAGGCACTGGTGTCTCAAATGGGGCCATTAATTTGGGTTTCAGTCACAATTACAAAAGCCTACTGAAATTTTAAATCAAAATAAACAAAACTGCCCTAGAGATAACTCCTTCCCAAAAGGCTCCTTCTTCCTCTTGTCTTCCAGCGTGACTACTGGCACTTTCTGCTCTCCTTATTTCTGAGTGTTGGATGTTTCTTCTCTCCTTCCCTTTCTACTCAGATGCCACGTCTCCTTCCTTCTCTGTCCTCTCATCTGATCCAGACATGACTACATCTGGCATCGTCCTACAGCATGCCAGCATTTGCAGTCTGCTGCCCAAGAGCCCACAGTGTTACAGCTTCTGGTTGTACATAGTCTTTCCATTCCCAACATGCTTTCCTTGTGCTCTCTAGCAAATATCTGCACTGCTCAAAGGGGACAGCATAGCCTACTCAAAGAAACATTGATGATTATAACTTTAAGAAAGGATAAAATGAAGTTTTAAATAAAATATTAAAAAACTATATTTAGCAACCTACGTCAAGCTTTTGTTCAGTCCACTACAAATAAGATCTGACCCTTTGTACCAGCCTTTGTGTACTGCATCCATTCAATGTTTGCAGATACTACCAGCCTGGATCCAAATTCCTACCTAGCTATGGAAATGTTTCATGAAATAAGTGATACAGTGGCAAAGTAGAAAAAAGTGATTATTAGAGCTTCATGTGTGGAGAAAAGCAAAGAGGGAACATCAAGCGTGAAGGTCACTTTCATCAAAGCTTTTCATCTTAACTTTTAAGAGTTACCTAGACACTTCACTGCTAATGATTCGCCCTTCAGTTTCTGCATTATTAAATATCCTTTAGGTTTCCCTATCTGGCAGACAGGGAATAAGAGTCCTTGGATAGTTCATTTCGTCAGGCTAGAAGGCAGGAACTAGTAAAAAGTAAGTGTTCCTCATATTTATCACTCCTAAATGAGCAACCTTCGGTGAACTAACTTCTGCCCAACAAAAGTCATGGTAAGAACAGGCAATGTTTTTTTTCTATTATGGGGATCACTGCCATTTCAATGTGGTCTGATTTTGCATCAGCAAAGGGAACTGTTACTCTTGCCTCTGAGTGGATTCTGGATCAGTATGTCCCTGAGAAAGCCAGAGCAATTTATGTATCTGCTGTCACTGTTAGCTACATGCTGTAAGGTATGCCTAACAAACTAGATCTGCCTTTCCTCCTGACTAGTTGCTGACAACTCTGCTGCCTACATTTGTCCAGAATAATTTTATTTCATGTTACCTCACTTCCAATGCATTGAAAAGAGCTTTTGGCTTCAGGAGCACGTTATTAGTGGAGACGGGACTCCACAGAAGGTAGTTTACGAGACTTTACCAACATACTCTGTTTCACAGAATGCGTTGGGGATTTAATACGTGTGGGATTTGCTGGTATTCATTAGACCTTCTTCTTTTCCACAATCAGCACTTTTGCTGGTCTAAGAAGGGTGAAGGCATAAAGTAGAAGACCTTGAATTTCTGTCAGACCTGAGATGTCTATCACTGGGAGATGAGAAGTCCCTTTTCTGAGGCAGGGGAAATAACGTATTACATTTGTTGATGTGTTATAAAAAATAAGTCATAATACAACAACAAATGTAACAATCACAGCCTGGCAACTTTGGGTCAGTGCCATACAACATTCCTAGTGTTACCATTATAAGGTGGAAAACGACTCTCGACTTTGCAGTACGTTCTCCTCCTCCCAGCACCAAAATAAAGCAGGCATCCAGACCGCAGCACATTAGTGTGGACAGCCTGATTGAGCCCTGGAAGCACCCTGCTCACGGTCAAGGCTGACCTCGGAGGTGACATGCTGAAGGAAGGGCAAGTAACACACGAAAAAGAAAAGCTAACAGCTCCCACGACCCCATGCCTGGACACCAACAACAGCTTACTGGAGCTACCCGGCTGAACGTGTTTAATTGCGACTGAGTGACTACCACGTAATGATGTCAAAGGCTACCACGGTCCCATTTTGCCAGCCCATTTTTGTAAGCCAGTGAGGGAAACAGTGCCCTTTTCATATTCTAGCCTCCGAGTTAGCTGCACATACTCCCTCAGACCCTGCAGGAAAGGTCCTGCCGCCTATTTCTGAATATTTCGGTACGCACCAGGTTCCTGTCTGATTACTCGCAGCAGGTACCCTACTCTTGGGGATTCCTGTCACCAGCTAACCTGTGGCTGGAGAGTCTCTGAGCATCGCTCATCAGCACCAACATTAAATGTATAGGGTTGGATAGACAGCTCTGTGCAATGCCAAATCCTCTTCGCTCTGGCAGATGAGAGCTCTCATGAATATTGGTGGAGCTGGATGATAAATGGAGGAAAGGATCAGTCTGTTGTCAACTAGCATGATGGCAACAATTATAAATACATTTGATCTTTTACTCTTGACTGAAATTTAAGTTTAAAATACACTGTTTCTCACGTTGCCAACCCCTACGGGTCCCATAACAACCTCTGACTAGCTCTCTGACACTACCAGCATGCCTGTGCCTTCTGCACCTGCTGACTCCTGCCATGCAGCCCCACGCACGCACAGACAAGGAAAGTTAATTTGACAAGATGTCTGAAGCCAACTTGCTTCACCAGTC